CTCTCTCTTCCCTCCTTCCCCTCCACTCTATCTAGAAATCAATGGAAAAATATCATCAAGTGAGGATTAGCAAAAACAGTAACAAAAAAAAGAGTAATGGTGATATATCAGAGAAGGAGTTGCTAGAGACGACTGTGGAGTGGAGGGAGGGCGGACTTCTTTTTTAAAGTAGAAATACTTGAGGATGTTGAAATGCCATCAGGTTGAAGCTACCAGAGGGAGCAGTCTATGACAAGGCTACTGAGGACGCCCAGAGGGTGATTATAAGTTATGCTCAAATAAGAGGTTGGTCTTAGATGAGCTCCTTTAATCTAATAGGAGAGAAGAAGAGGAGAATGAGGCAGATCAAAGCTGATTTGTAGGTTTGGAAGCAGGAAGTTGAAGGTTTTCCATCCAATGGCTTTATATAAAAGTCTATACTAGTTTCAAATTTTGTGATTGTATAATATAGTAGTGATAATAATGACACTTATGGACTGATTTCTGTGTGTTAGTTATGTGTGGTATAATGTATGATTTCTATAGATAAACTGCCTGGGATTTGAATCCAGGCCTTACTACTTCCTATGTGACCTTGAGCTGGTTTTGATTCTCTCTGGGCCTCAGTTTCTTTTGTTAAATGGGGATAAGACACATTACAGGATTAAATGTAGATGTGTATTATATGTTTATGTATAGTGCTTAATGTGGACTTGATACTTGTTCATCGTGCCGTACATATTAGCTAGCAATAGCAGCAGCATGGTTGTCAGCCTTCAGCCTCTGGTACTGCCCTTGCCATTCCCTCTGATGATGTGATGGTAGTATTTAGTCCTGTTGTACGTGTGAGGCAACAGGCAGAGATTAAATGATTTATTTGGGGCCACACGGCTAAATAGATGAAAGAGCCAGATTTTCAAACTAGATCTGGCCAGCTTCAGACCTACACTTTTATAAGTTCTGAAAGCTGCTCATCTAGAATATTTCTTCTGTAGCTCTCTCGATACATGCGAGCTCAGGGTTGATATGTAAAGATGTGAAATAAACACAGTCAAAGTAGGTCTTCCATAGCTTCCACCACCCCGGAGGCTTGCTCTCCGCCAGGTGACCTGCTGCCTCTGTAGCTCCCACCCCTATCCTGCAAATCCTCTCTTCCTTTACCAAAGTCATAGATCTACATCTTTCTCTTTCCCTCTTAGTTTATATTGGCTATTTTTTTCTTTTTAAAATTTGTATCAAAGATTGTGTGATTTCAGCTTGAAGTGAATTGCAGGTGGAAGGGTGTACGTTTTCCTTAGAATATTAGCTGAAGAATGAGGTTTTGTCACCGTTTTGGGTTTTACACTTATTCTTAAAAACATTTCCATGGCATTTGTAATCATTGTAATGCACACTCCTTTAACTCACTTTTCCTGATGATGTGGCGTGTTCCTCTGTTTGTGGCCTGTTCAGAGATCAGATTACCTCCCCTTTCTGCCCGTAACGCCTGAGGTTCTTTCAGCTTTCCCTTTAAAAACTTAGAGATTTTCGCGAAGATTATTGAACTGAGAGACTTTTCCTGATGTTATCAAGTGTTTTATATTCTACCTCAATTGCTTACTTTACGAAACATTTTATCCTTCAAATTTAACTCCTGAGAACATCATCAGACTATATGTGAAGAACACGAAGTTCTATACAAGAAAGGTGTTATGCGTATTTATTTTTTAAATAACAGTATGTTATTGTGTTACTTTTTTGGGAGAATTGAGATAATACCACTTCAAAATAGAACAGTTTGAGATGCTGCCATGGACGGAACATGTTTTCCCGATTAGAATAGCTTCTTTGCTGGGTCTCACCGGCGGGTTTAATCTCCTGTGAGTCCCGTATTGTTCTGGGGTCCCAGGGGCTCGGGCTTTCTTTTCAGAAGAGCTGACAGTTGATTTTGGCTTCCCAGGAGTTGGCTCTGGTAAATCACTGCTTTCTTTTATTGAATTTAAACAGTATTATTGAAGTATAATTTATAGTCCATAAAATTCACCCATTGCCATTTGACCCAGTGATCCCATGTCTAGGACTGTGTCCTAAGAAGCCTGAAACATCAATCAGGAAGAATATATGCACCCGTATGTTCATAGCAGAGCTATTTACAATAGCTAAGATCTGGAAACAGCCCAAATGACCATCAGTAGATGAGTGGATAAAAAAATCTGTGGTACCTTTATTTACACAATAGAATACTATGCAGCTGTAAAAAAAAAAAAAAAAAAAGAAAGGATCTCTTACCCTTTGAAACACATGGAGGAACCTGTGGAGAGTATTACACTACGTGAAATAAGCTAGTCAGAGAAACACAAGTATCACATGATCTCACCTATATGTGGAATCTAATGAACAAAATAAACTAACAAAATAGATCCAGAGATGTGGAAGCAGGAAACAGACTGACAAACCTCAGAGGGAAGAGGGGGGGGGGGCAGGAAAAGATTAACCAAGGAACTTATTTGCATATATGCACAACCCATGGACACAGTGTGGTGGGGGGTGGTAGGAGTAGGAACAGGGTGGAGGAGGTCAATGAGGGAAAAGGGGGGGATATATGTAATACTTTAAACAATAAAGATAAATTTAAAAATAAAAAAATAAAGTATAAAATTCAATTGCTTTTAGTAAATTTCGTTAACAATTTAGTTTTTAAAGTTTTCCCTCTCCGTGAAAGTCCCATTGAACCTGTTTGCTTCCATCGCTCCTGCCTGCTCTCCAGCACACATAACCACTGATTTGCTTCCTGCCTCCATAGACTTGCCTGTTCTGGACAGTTCATATAGGTGGAATAATATGCTGCTGTCTTTTGCATCTGGCTTCTTTCACTCAGCAAAATGTTTTCGAAAGGCTCATATAACATGCATCAGTAGCTTGTTGCTTTTTATTTCTATCTAGTGTTTGATTATATGGATATTCCACATCTTGTTTATCCAATTGTCAGTCAGTGAATATTATTTCCATTTGGTGGTATGATATGAATAATGCTGCTATGAACATTCACAGACAAGTCTTTGTGTAGATATATATTTTTGTTTTACTTGGATAGATTCCTAGGGATGAAATTGCCAGGTTGTATAGTCAGTTTATGTTAAACTGTTTAAGAAAGTGAAACTGTTTTCCAAAGTGGCTGCACCATTTTACATTCCTAGCAGCAGTGAGTGAGGACTCTGGTTTCTCTGCATCCTCATCATCACTTGGTTTTGTCTTGGTGAAGCCACTACTATGGATGTGTAAAGGTATATTATTGTGGTTTTTTACCCATTTTAATAGGTTGTTTATTTATTATTGAGTTGTGATAATTCTTTTTTTTAATCCTCACCCGAAGACATTTTTGCATTTATCTTCAGATAGAGCAGGAGGGAGAGAGGGAGGAAGAGAGAGAGAAACATCGATGTGAGAGAGACACATTGAGTGGTTGCCACCCATACAACCCCAACTGGGGCTGGGGACAAACTGCAAATGAGGTACATGCCCTTAGTGGGAACCGAAACTGAGACTCTCTGGTCCGCAAGTTGACACTCTAACAGCTGAGCCAAACTGGCCAGGGCGAGTTGTAATAATTCTTTATATATTTTGTATACAAGTCCTTTATCAAATATATTATTTATAAATATTTTTTCCAAGTCTGTACCTTAGTGTTTTATTTTCTGTAATTAAATCTTTGGGATCACACAAGTTTCAAAAATTTTAATGAAGTTCAATTATTAATTTTTTTTTTATGGTTTATGGTTTTTATGATATATCTAAGACCTCTTTGACTAACCCAAGGTCATACAGTTTATTTCTAGAAGTTTTATAGTTTTAGTTATTACATTTAGGTCTGTGATACATTTTTTTAAATCCTCACCCGAGGATATGTTTATTGATTTCAGAGAGAGAGGAAGGGAGAGAGAGAGCAAGAGAGAAACATCAGTGTGAGAGAGAAACATTAATGAGTTGCCTCCTGCATGTGCGCCGACCAGGTTATTAAACCCACAACCTAGGTATGTGCCCTGACTGGGAATCGAATCTGCAATCTTTTGGTGTATGGGACAACACTCCAGCTGAGCCACCCAGCCACGGCTAGGTCTGTGGTGCAGTTTGAGTTCACTTTTGTGCTATTTGACGGTCTGAGTTATTTTTTTTGCATGTTAATATCGAACTGTTCCAACACCATTTATTGAAAAGATTATTCTCTCCCCCATTTAATTGTCTTGTACCATTGTTAGAAAGCATTTGACCATAAACAGAAGGGCTTATTTCAGAAATCTCAATCCTGTGCCATTTATCTGGTGGTCTCTCCTTTTGCTGGTCCCAAACTGTCTTGATTACTATAGTGCTACAGAAAATGTTATAATCAGATAGTGTGAATTCTCCAAATTATTATTATTTTTTCAGTATTCTTTTGGCTATTCTAGCACTTTCCCTTTTCTTGTGTTTTAGAATTAGTTTGTCAATAATAACAAAAAGCCTGCTGGGATATTGACTGGGATTTTACTGAATCTATAGATCAATTTGAGGAATATTGGCACTTTAACAATATTGAATCTTCCAATCCATGAACATTGCCTATCTGTTCATTTATTTAGTCTTATTTGATTTATTTTATCAGCATTTTATAGTTTTCAGGCTATCGTTCCTGTAAATATTTTGTTAGATTTATATTTAAGCATTTAATTTTATAGTTGTGCTAATGTAATGATGCTTTTTAAAAAAATGGCATTTTTTTATCCCCCAGCATCATTTCAAGTTTTGCTCAAACCCTGTCAGTTGAATTCTCCCGTGTTACATTTGAATCTGGCCAAACACCAAATAATGTCTTACAAAACAGAATAAGTAGCCTCTACTATATTTTTCATTGATAATTACTAAGAGGTAAAGAAAGGAATGACCTGTTAGTAGTTGTTTGGTAAGACTGTCATATCAGTCTGTATACGTGATTGATGATGTGAAACACACAGACCTCTGTCAGGAAAAGGTGAGCTTAACCTCCTCTTGGTTCTTCTGTAGGTGTCGCAGCTTCCCTGGAGGTCTCAGAGAGCCCTGGGAGTATCCAAGTGGCCCGGGGTCAGACGGCCGTCCTGCCCTGTACGTTCACTACCAATGCTGCCCTCATTAACCTCAATGTCATTTGGATGGTCATTCCTCTCGCAAATGCCAACCAACCTGAGCAGGTACTTCTGTTCCATCCTGTGCTGCCTCTGGAATGTTCAGCTTTTCAGAGGAGGCGGGGAAAGCACTCTGAGTACGGTTCGACTTCTAGAGAAAGGTGACACTTCCAGTGGGCGTTGCCTGTCCCGTTTTATGTCCTACTCCTGCATCATTAGTCCACAACCAGGAGAAGCTATCCTCTTTTTAAGACTTGTTTTTTTAAATGAACAGATGTCAAGGGGATTCTTCTGAGAATTTTATGTAGGAACCTGGAGTTTCATTAAAAACCACCCCTGACAGGAAACACCAAGCCTGAATATATTATACCAAAGCAAAATATATAAAAAGGAAGGGACTGGCCTAACATAAGTGGATGAGAAAGTACTTTTCAAAGATAGTGCTAATATTAGGAAAGTAACATTTAACAGTAGTACTTGAATTATTTGGCTCATTGCACAAGTATTTTAAAATTAACAAAGCTAGCCAGGCAGATTGGAGCCTCAGATACATTAGGGTACATGAAAATAGAAGTTATACCTAATAACATATGTCAGGTATAGGTAAAAGACCCATAATATGTGATATCCACTGCAGAAAATAATGTTCAGAAAATTAACGAGTTGCGATTATGACTGTACCTTCATTCCCAAAGGTATTTCTATTATGAAGCTTTTCTGCTTCAATAAGCTTATTAGTACCTAAAAATAATTGATAAGCTCAATTTTCTGAAGGAATCTGGGCTGTCAGGAAAGGGTGAGGACATAACCTATTCATTTTTCTATAGGTGACCAAATAGATATATTTAATTGGAGCTTCTTGTATTTCTTTAAACTATGGAACTTTTGTAATTGGACTGAACCTTTGAGATCATTTTGTTCAACCTCATCATTTTAGGGGTCAATGACTGAGTCAGAGAGGCAGAGAAAGGCTTGACCACGGTTATGCAGACCTTTCCTGGTAGAGCTGGAATAGAACCAAGTTCCTCACTCTCAGCTCAAAGGGCTTTCTGCAGCACCACTCTGAGTCCCCCCCCCCATGGACAGTTAACTTTGCTGATCGTATGTCAATTTCTAGTCTCAATCAGGGGCTTGTAACGAACTCTTCTTCCCTTCTATGACATTCACTTATATTTATCATTAACTGTGATTTATTATTTTGTGACATGGTTAGTGTGAGAATAACAGTGCTAATTTAAAATTTTTTAATTTGGAACTACTTTTTTGAACTGGTAAAAATATTGACGGGCTAATAGTAGCCTAGCATAAAAACGTTTTCTGTACTCTGATGAGCTAAGTAAGGAAACAATGTTTTTCCAATTTGGTATGTAAGAATTTAGAATCCCTAGATAGTTACAGATAGGTGTTACAGTAAGAACTTGGTGACAACTAAGTTAGAAGTAAAATTTTCTAATGTTTGGTGCAGTCTGCTGTGTACTAGGCAGTTATCGTTGTGTGTCCAGAAGGAGATACAGTGGCCAATGTATTGACTTTGGTTTCTTTTGCAGGTCATTCTGTATCAGGGTGGACAGATGTTTGATGGTGCCCCCCAGTTCCACGGTAGGGTAGGATTTACAGGCACCATGCCAGCCACCAATGTCTCTATCTTCATTAACAACACTCAGCTCTCAGACACAGGCACCTACCAGTGTTTGGTTAACAACCTTCCGGATAGAGGGGGCAGGAACATTGGGGTCACCGGTCTCACAGTTTTGGGTGAGTGACAGCAGATAGTCTGAACACTGGCTTTACTCAGGAATCTGTTCTCAAGCATGTTTCTTTCTGCCTGTCCTACACTCGCAGGCTGCCTGTGTCCTTCTCCTGTCTTCTCTCCATTCAGCCCACCTCGACTCTGCCTCTTCGTGCTGCTTGGTTCCCCACCCCTACTCCATTCAGCCAGTCTCTGAAGTTCACTTCCCAGGTGACTGTTTCTGAAGGTGGACAAAGGGGCTATAAAATACCATCAGAAGTGGCCTCTCACTTTCCGTAGGCTTCTGCAGGATGAGACTTATTGTTGAGAGCAAATTAAATCAAGAATTATTTATTGAGCCTGAAGCACGAGTTTAAGCACCTGTGACAACACGTGAACTACTACTTCACATCTGTGTAACACTGGGTGGGCTCACCGCAGTTCTTGGTTTGCATCTCTTGTCCTGGCATAATTTTAATAATACTTTTACTCTCAAAAGTATCCTTGTTTGTATAATACATTATATGATCAATTTGGTCTTGTTTGTTTGTTTGTTTATTTTGTTAATCCTCACCCAAGGATATTTTTTCATTGATTTTTAGAGAGAGTGGAAGGAGGAAAGGAGGTGGAGGAGAGAGAGAAAGATCAATGTGAGAGAGACACATCAATTGGTTGCCTCCTGCATGTGCCCCCATCAGAGCTGGGGATCAAACCTGCAACCCAGGCACATGCCCTTGACCAGGAATTGAACCTGCAACCCTTTGGTGTGTGGGCTAGTGCTGTAACCACTGAGCCACATCAGCCAGGGCTTATCAATTTGATCTTAATACCAAGACCAAATAGATTTTGGGCCTTATCCAAGGTTCTGTAGACAATGGACAACAATAAAGTTTATATTAAAAATGTAGGACTCTTTACTCAAATCAGTACTCTTTCCATTATACTGGCAAGTTAGACTAATACTTCATTAAATCCATTCTAAACATGTTTGATTTCTCAATTCCACTGCCTCTGAGATGAAACACTGCCTCCGAAATGGATACTTAGGGCAGAAGTGGCTAAGTTCAGTTCATTTACGGGGACCGAGGAAGTACTTAGAAAAGGCTGATGCTTTTGATGGTCCTTCATCCCCGGGGTCTCAGAACCTACTGCCCCACTCCTGGCAAACTCTCCCCCTTTCCCTTCCATTACTGAGTCACTTGAGGACACCGCAGGGGGCTTCTTGCCATTTTTCTTCTTTGGGCTAGGGTATGCTATACCCTTGGTACCGTGTGCTCCTAGTTTTCAAACAGAATAAGAAAACTGAGAACCAGGTTGGAGATTTCTATCTTAGAAGAATTATTTGTTCTAGTATATTAAAATTGCAGACTTTAAAATACTCTGAGTACTAATGCCCTGGCTGGTTTTTGCTCAGTGGTTAGAGCATCGGCCTGTGGACCAGAGTCCTGGGTTCAGTTCCCACTAAGGGCATGTACCTCGGTTGCAGTTTGTCCTCAGCCCTGGTTGAGGTCGTGTGGTGGCAACCACTTGATGTGTCTCTCTCTTCCTCCCTTTCTCCCTCCCGCTCTATCTGAAGATAAAAAAAATGCAAAAAAACTGTTCTTGGGTGAGGATAAAAACAAAAACAAAAACAAAAACAAAAAAAGACTGAGTACTGAATACTGTTGGAGTTTAATATTATTCTGATGCTTATATTTGTAAGTTAGGTAACTAGCTTCTCACATTATCTAAGTTTTTTTTTCATTTTTTTAAAGGAAGGAAAAAAACCTGTAACTTATTTTTTAGTGAATGCTAACTTCAAATAATTATTTTGGTTTCCCCTCATAGCATCACAGTGGCCATGTTAAAGGCAGTGAATTGAGAAAATTGGTTTATTCCATCATAGCAGTTAGGGTGCTCTGAGATTTTATTACCCTTCCTACCTATAGGTTACTCTCATTGTTCTCTCTTCCTTCACCCACCTTCTTTCCTGGTTCCTCTATATATTGCATTTATTTTTCATTCATTCACTTTTGCAAGACTGAGCACATTTATTGAAAAGCCATCAGCATTACAAGAACATTGTTACTTGGATTCAATCTCTACTGCCTGTATTTCCCAATATGTGACTCTAAGCCATGGACTTAGTTTGTATTTTTATTTACTTTCTTTCTTTTTTCATGCTATGAATCACCATCTTCTTCCTTTAGTGTTCTTATTTGGGGGTAATTTCTTAGTTTCATGTTCTTTGTGTCCTTATCTGCCTTAATGATTAGACAGTGTGCACTGTATTACTGTCAGGTGGCAGGTAGATGGGAACCGTACCCTAACTTCCCTCCATAAAGTAGCTTAGGTGAAAAGCGGGTCAGCCTGGTTTTCATTTGTAAAGTAGTAAAGAGCCTTGTTAAGGTGTCTCAGCCAGAGAGTAGCTGGCAGGATAGGAGGTTGCTCTTCCTTGAGATATCTTCTCTACAAGTGGTCTCTCAGTCATTAAAAAAACAATTAATTGTGGTTAAGTACACGTAACATAACATTTACCATCTTAGCAGTTTTTCAACGTACAGTTCAGTGGTGTTAAGTACATTCCTTTATTGTGCCACCAATCTCCATAACTCCTCTCACTTTGCAAAACTGAAGCTCTGTACCATTAAACAGCATGCCTCTCTCTCTCCCCAGCTGCTAGAGACCACTGTTCTGCTTTCTGTGTCTAGGAATTTGATTACTCTAGCTACCTCATATAAACAGAATCAAACATTGTTTGTCTTCGTGTGACTAGCTTGTTTCACTTAGCATAAGTTCATCCATGTTGTAAGCTGTATCAGAATGTCCTTCCTTTTCAAGGCTGAATAATATTTCATTGTATTTAGACCACATTTTGCTTCTCCATTCATTCATCTAGAGACACTTGGGTTGTTTCCACCTTTTGGCTATTGTGAATAATGCTGCTGTGAACATATGTATATTCAGTAATGTTTTTAAAGGCAGTATGTTGACACAAAGGATCTCAAGAAATTCTTCAGAGGAAGCAGAGTGAAACCACGACTATAGATATGTTGGGAATGTAATCAGAGAGTGTAGCCCCATTTACATATTTGCTCCTTGCTACCTGAAGTTGTAGGCCCTGCGCCTATGCTCAAGTCCTGTGTATAGTACATGCCCGTCCACTGGCATCATTCAGGTACTCCCGGTATGTGTTCCAAAAACAGTGAGGTTCTGGTGTACTGAACGGTGAATGTCTCTTCTGTCATCATTTGGCTCATAGTCATTGCATACTCTATTGTTGTTCTTCCTGTTCTAGTTCCCCCTTCTGCCCCTCACTGCCAAATCCAAGGATCCCAGGATATCGGCAGCGACGTCATCCTGCTCTGTAGCTCAGAGGAAGGCATTCCTCGACCAACTTACCTTTGGGAGAAGCTAGACAATACCCTCAAACTACCTCCAACAGCCACTCAGGGTATGTATAGTGTTGCTTTACCCATTTAATTAATTATTGTGGAAATTTTTGATTCTAAGATTCACAAAGTAATAACTTTAATAAATTTTGAAAAATCACACTATATTTATAACTGTTGAAAAAACAATCTGATCTGGATCATTTTGTATTTTCAACTGTAAAGAGAATAAAACATTTTATTTTATTTTCTCATTGCTGATTGTATGAAATGTATATTAGCCAGTGGTAAATGTATATGGAAATTCTGTTCCATTATGCTGAAGATTTTAAAATAGCTTAGTGATCCCTGGCCAGTTTTGCTCAGTGGTTAGAGCATCAGCCAGCAGACTGAAGGGTTGCAGGTTTGATTCCAGTCAAGGGCATGTACCTGGGTTGCAGGTTCAATTTCTGGTCCTGGTTGGGGTCATGTGGGAGGCAACTAATCAATGTGTCTCTCTCACATTGATGTTTCTTTCTCTCTCTCTCTCTCCCCCCCTCCTCTCCTCTCCCCTCCCTTTCTCCTACCTTTCCTCCCTTCCACTCTCACTATGCACTCTCTCTAAAAATAGATGGAAAAATATCCTCAGGTGAGGAGTTAAAAAACCAATACAAATAAAATAAAATAGTTCAATGGTAGCTTCTTTGTACTGTTTGTTAACTGTAAGATAATTCTTGAAGTTTAAACTGAGAATTCACTTCCTACTTGAGACACAACTGCCTGTTGTAGAATGAGAAACATCAGCATGGTCATGAAAGGGCTAATCATCCTGTTTTCAACCTCAAGCCCAATTAGAGGAGGAAGATGGGAAAGAGAGCAGGAAAAGGGCCCCCAGATCAACCAGATCACACCAAGCAGGTAAACATGGAGGAGGCATGAGTGCCATTGATAGTTTTCTACATATAAAGCCAGCTATTTATAGTTAATATTAAAGGAAACATCCTTGAAAAATAGAGGACAATTGAAATAAAATGAGGGAAATGATAGAATTATATATAAAGTCTATTTTTTTTTTTTTTAAGTTAACAGTCTTGGGTGTTGCGTCATCTGTAATACAGAACATGTTTCCGGCAGCATTTTCAGGGCTGATTTAAAATCTTAAAGAGTTGACAGTTAATGGATGGGTCTAAAATAACCTCAGTTATGCCTGGTAAGTGTGAATCAGGGAAAAGGCAAGTCCTAAGTTGTATGGTGAAGTTAGACACATTAAAGAACTAGGAGCATCAACTTCTTAAAGAATCCCAACAGAAATAGTAATGGACCTCCCATCACCTTTTAATTAACCTAGCCCAGCCCTGACCAGTTTGGCTCAGCGGTTAGAGTGTCAGTATGTGGTCCAGAGAGACTCGGGTTCGGTTCCCGCTAAGGGCACATACTTCGGTTGCGGTTTGTCCCCGACCCTGGTTGGGTCGTGCAGGAGGCAGCCACTGGATGTGTCCCTTCACATCGATGTTTCTCTCTCTCTTTCTCTCTCTCCCTCCCACTTTATCTGAACAAAAATGGAAAAATGTCCTCGGGTGAGGATAAAAAATAAATAATTAACTTAGCCCAAAATTTCATTATTAAAAAAAAAATTCAACATAATATCTTTTGGGTTACTAACAATTACTGTAATATTGTTGTTCTCTACTGATTTTTTATTGGTAAATATTTTAGCCTTACTGTGGGCTAAATAGCTTTATTTGTGTACTAACTTATTAATCTCACCATTATAAGTGGTATATTTGAAATAGAGCTTGTCTTCAAATTCTGAAATTATATTCAAAATCTGGATTTTTCAGGGAGAGTTTTCTGTGACAGTTTACCTCTTTGGGCCTATGGGGGTTAAACAGTATCTCCAAGATGATATTGTTCATCTTAAGAGTCTATGATTTATTTTATAACATTTATTTGAAATATTGGATTGAGTTTTGTATTACAGATGAACACTTAAAAATGGTTGTTTGTATGTAAGTTGCGAAACATCTGTAGAAAGAGCTTTCCATACCTTTGTTTCTGAATGAATATATATCAATCAAATTTTTTTATGTTTTCTTTGCAATTTGAATATTCTTTGGTACATTAGGTATAAAAGAACTTGAATACAAAATGAAAATGTCTTTTATAATTCAAACTCTGGATTGGTTATCAATTACTTTAGATAATTTCATCTGTCATAATAATGCACATTAATGACTCTGAGTTTTATTTTAAATTTACATCTTGATAACTACATTAATAAAGTAGATCTCGCCCTGGCCGGTTTGGCTCAGCGGTTAGAGCGTTGGCCTGCGGTCCGGAGAGACCCGGGTTCGGTTCCCGCTAAGGGCATGTACCTCGGTTGCAGTTTGTCCCCGGCCCTGGTTGGTCGTGCGGGTGGCAGCCACTCGATGTGTCCCTTTCACGTCGATGTTTCTCTCTCTCTCTCCCTCCTGCTCTATCTGAACAAAGAATGAAAAAGTGTCCTCGGGTGAGGATAAAAAAAATAAAAATAAAATAAAGTAGATCTCAAAATAACATTTAATCTCAAATTAACTTAGAATTTTTTCAGAAGATTTACTTTACTAATATGTTTACAGTTGCTTAATGTAAACTCAGGATGCTTTCTCTGAGAAAAGAATGGTGGACATCTGGGGAGAGCACCCCAGATGCCTGATTAGTGATAAGGGCATAATATTTGAGGATTAGCATTGACCTTGTGTATAGGGGCTAGCTGGAAGGTATTTCTTAGAGCCAATTCTGAGACAATTTGAACATTAAAATAAATATATAGTCCAGTTTATAGTCCATTGAATAAAATGTGAGTTCCTGAATCTCTAATGATATACATAAATAAATGGGGGAGGAGGGAAAGCATTTTCTTACAGTAGAATGCCTATTAATGTATATAGAAGTAGTGATGGAGTTAGGAAAGTCATCACTGATGTCGAAATAGCTGAAGCTTGATAAGGAACAAGATATTTACATAGTTCCAAAATATGTCTCCACAAATTACTTATTAATTGCAAAGAAAAAAATAATACAGTTAACCCTTGTACAACAAAGGTTGAATTACACGGGTCCACTTATAAGCAGACTTTTCAAAATAAACATGGTAATTGTATTTTCTCTTATGATTTTCTTAAAAACATTTTCTCTTCTCTAGCTTACTTTATTGTAAGAATACCATATATAATACCTATAACATACAAAATATGTGTTGACTGTTTAGGTTATCCTTAAGGCTTCTGGTCAGTAGTAGGCTATTAGTAGTTAAGTCTTTGGGGAGTCAGAAATTATATGCAGATTTTCTACTTCTAGGGGGTGGGGAGCTCCCCTAACCCCTGCATTGTTCAAGGGTCAACTGCAACTTTGTAGTAGAAAGACCTGGTGGATACCACTTTAACCAGGTGCTCTAAATGAATGTCATTAATATTGTGACAAACTGTTATCCTGTGCCTCCTAATGGTGCACTGAGGACACAACATTATTGCTGTGGTATTCCTGTCAAAACATATAACCTGAACCCGGTCACGAGGAAACATCCAGCAAAGCAAGGGGCAGACAAAACTTGCAGGCTGGAAGACTAAGGAGTTAAAACAACTAAATGCTATGCAGAATTTTAGATTATAATCTGGAAGAAATGGCCAAAAACGACATTATTGAAACAGTTGATGAAATCTGAGTATAAACTGTGGATTAGATAATACTGTTGTATCAATGTTAGATTTCTTGACTTGGATGCTTATACTGTGATTGTGTGAAGATTGTCTTTATTCTCGAGAAATACCGAATACTTGGTGGTAAAGAGGTACAGTGTCTTCAGCTCACTCTTAAATGGTTCAGAAAAGTATTATATGTTTAGTGAAAAAATTATAAACCTATTAGGGCAAAATATGAACAGATGTTGAACCTGAGTAGATGATATATAATATACAGAGTTTTTTGTGATATTCTTGCAACTTTTCTGTAAGTTTAAAATAGTCAAAATAGAAGTTACCAAAATGTTGTCCTCATATAAATTATATGTGGATATTCAAGAGGTGAGTAGATTTAGAACCCGTATCCTATGAGGTACACTCCTTTTCTTTTTTAAAAAATATGTTTTTATTGATTTTTAGAGAGAGAGGAAGGAGAGGGAGAAAGAGAGAGAAACAACGATGAGAGAGGCATCGATTGGCTGCCTCCTGCACTCCCCTGGTGGGATCAATCTTGCAACCCAGGCATGTGCCCCAACCGGGAATCGAACCCTTGGTCCACCTCTCAATCACTGAGCCACACCGGCTGGACTACACTTCATTTTCATACAGAGGAATAATAGAGTGGGTTCAGTATTATCCCTGTGGCATATAATACTTTTGAATTCTAAGATAAGTGAAAACTATATTTAAAGTTGGTATTATTTCAAGCAAAATGTAGCACTTTGGTCTATGCTTCAAAGGCTTATATAACTGGCCCAGGTTCTACTAAGTGGGAGCATAATGCATGAGACCGGTCACCAGCCTCTACATCAGGGTTGTCAACCAGGGACAGTTTCACTGGGCAGTGTCTGGAGACATTTTCATTGTCACAGCTGGGAGGAGGGTGCTACTGGCAGCTAGTGGGCAGAGGCCAGGACCGCTGCTAAACATCCCATGATGCACAGGATGCAGCATCCACAACAGAGAGTACCCAGACCAGTGTCAGTAAGTGAGTTACATCCATAGATTTTCACACATTACAACATCTATGCATTTCGGCAATACAGTCTCCTGGAGATTATTTTTAATTTTTTTTTTCATCCTCACCTGAGGACATTTTTCCATTTATCCTTAGACAGATTAGGAGGGAGGAAGAGAAAGAGGGAGGGAGAGAGAGAGAGAGAGAGAGGGAGAGAGAGGGGGAGAGAGAGACACATTGACTGGTTGCCTCCCATGCAACCCTAACCAAGCCTGGGGACAAACCGCAACCCAGGTATGTTGCCCTTGGCCGGAATCGAACCCAGGTCTTATTGGTCTGCAGGCCAATGTTTAACCGCTGAGCCAAACCAGCCAGGGCTCTTTGTGATTATTTTTAAACAAACTGC